ATCGTTCCTGCTGACACCATCAGGAAACCAATTTACAGAAGTATCTTCACCAGCTACACGCCCTCTATGATCCCAGCGAAAGCTCCACGTTGGAGAACATCGAACATTCCGCTGCACAATCTCACGGGTTGATCCACTTTGTACAGTTTTGTCTCTGGAAGCAACGCAACAAGCACCACCCATCGTGAAGTAGTAGCAACAGTTGTTAGCTTCTTACGCCAACATAACCACTGATTGCATCAACAAATACAAATCATCACCATTCACTTGTGAACGCACCACTTTGCCCGGAACTGGAACAGTAACCAACAAGAGTCACCATCAATTGAAAGTTGCAACTATCAATAATATGATCCAAAAAAACGTGTTACAACTGTTACTCAACCAGTAATTCCGCTGAAGTTAAACAAAATTCCAAATCAAAACACCCCACGAAAAAACGAACACAAGGGAAAGACCAAAACTAAGGTGAGAATGAAAAAAGTGTACGGACAATCAGTCTTTTCTAAATTCAAAAAACATAAAATAAACCTCCTAATCGATCAAAATCAATAGAAGAAAAAAAATTGGTAACAGAAATTCAAAACAGTAGAACCCGCAGGAAGGGGAAAATTGGAAAAGCGAGTGTGGTATTATGATATTCTACTCTCTATCATAGACACGGTACCAACCTGAAATCAGCGGCAAGACAAGAGAAAAATGAAATTCCCCCAAAATTAAACTAAAACAGAATAAAAAGGGCGTTGAAGATGATCCAATAAATCTGCTGTAATCTTAAAAAAGGCAAACCGGAATCAAGGAAACCGAAAATCCGAAACGAGAAATCATGCAAGTGAGTGGAAAAGTCAAAACGATCCGAAACAAATGCTGAAGAAACGGAATTGAGAGTGAAGAGGTGCGGAGTTTGAATAGTAAGTGAGCATAATAGTATGAATTGAGGAGGGAAAACAAAAACTAGTGATTTTGAAATTGGGCGCATAAACATAGCAAAAAAAAAAAAAAAAGTGTTGTTATGGGTATTACACCGACGCATGCGTACCTTTGGAGAGAGCGGAAAGAAAAGAAGAGGGAGCGTTAGTTATGACTTAGAACTTAGAACTTAGAACCCTCCTTCTTCAGTACCGCCGGTATGTACTGTTTTTCTCTCAAATAATAAACCAAAAAATCCTCCCATTTTTTTTTAAATAAAAAAATTATAAACAATTAAAATTAACATAGATCGTTATACTTCTAATTATCCCAATATATTTTTTACTCAAATAATAATAATTGATAGTGAATATCTTTATCAATTATTATTTTTCTTCCTTTTTAATTATATCATCTCGGTTAATCTTAATTATTGATAATAATATTATTAGGATTTAGGAGGTTAGCTTTTCTTGGTTTGGGAATTTATGCTGCCTTAGCTTTAATTTGTTCCCGGTAAAATTTCTTTTTCCTTCTTCGCAACACTCCCAACCTTTGCATATATTCCTGAAATGCTCACTACTCTTTCTTTTTCATTTTTTTAATAAATATTCTTTTAACTTGCCACCTTAAATTTGGTTATTATTTAAGTTAATTGTTAAAGTTAGATGTAAGAGCCATAAATCAAAAGCTCCGTATGTATAAAATTAAAAAATTAAATTAAATTAAAAAATCAAAAGCTTCCTACTTTCTCGGCCGATCCTTCTTTCACTCTGTCAGTGTAGCTTCCTATCGCTAAGCAATCTCCTAATCTCGTTTTTGTTACTCCCAAAATGAATTCTGTTCCAAATTTCCAATCACGGTTCTTTCTTGATTTTAAAAAATTAATATTAATTTATATATGTACATTTTACCTTTTAATACTTATATTTTTTTTAAAAAATTAATCTCTATATTAATTTAGTTCAGATTTGGAATAAAATAAAATCTAAACCAATCAATTAAGTAATTTTAATCTCTTAAATATTATAATTGTATAATTTTTATGTTTATAATTATGTGATTTTAACCATTTAATTATTTTAATTATATAATAACCTAATTAAGTTACATATATTTATTATTAGTAAAATTAGTAATATATGTAATTAGATTAAAAATTATATAATTCTAATATTTGATGGACTAAAAGGATATAATTACAACACCTTAATTAAAATTTTAGGATTAAAATTGTACAAAATTAAAATTGTTCAATTAAAGCATTGAGTATCAAAATTGTATAATTGTAATACTTGAGAGATAAAAAAAAACATGATTAAGCCTAACAAATATTATAATTTTCGCCTATATAATATATATGATAAATATTTATTCTATATAATAAATAAATATTTAAAATTATATTATAATTTAAATATATATATATATATATATTATATTTTAAATTTTTAGTGAATAATTTATATCTTAACAAAACATTATTTTTAATCATTTGATAATTT